CAACGGCGGTGTGCCGGATGTCTCCCCGTCGCTACCCGCCGAGATTCAAGACTTTCTCGGTAAATGTCTGTGCCGCAATCCGCATGACCGCTGGATGACGCAGCATCTGAAAACGCATGCCTTCCTGCAATGTTCTAAAGAAAACGTATCGCAGTGGGCCATTCCGCGAGCAGCCAAGGAAGAAGCAGACATTTTTCTCTACCGTAACTGCAGCCGACTTCTTTAACCCGCATACTGTATACTGCGCACTGCTGATCTCATCCGTTAGCATTCACAATATTAGCTTTTTTTCTATTACACTGATTAATGTTTTCCTGTTAATGATTCAGGGATGATATGTGCCCGCAATTCGCCTTCGCGCCTACTGTTAGCGAATTTCTCGAATTCTTAGGAAAATCAGCACATTACCCCAGCTCGAACGGGGATCAGACACGTAAAAACTTGCGAGTGCATGGCCCGATGCTGGTAATTGATCTTAGCAATCTAATTTTTAAAGTGTGCAGTAACCATTAAACCTGTTTAGTGGTCGGCACAATCGATTACCACTTATTGGCAACTGGATTATTGAGTGAACATCGAAAGTAAAATTGAAGCCGTAAACACCGTAATGCTCGATCAGCTGCAAAACCGTAGCACATGCTGATCTACAGAGAAGTGTCGGGAAATGGAACATAAAACACGAACGCGCTCATGCAAAAGCCAAGCTGACAGCGCTAAAATTGCTAACTTTTCGATTCCACGAATCTTGCTCGCAAACGTGCTGTATAAAGGTCATTCTTACATAATTCGGCTTATTATCCCTAGTGCTGTATCAATTATGAGCGGTTAAGGCTAGTGGAATTGGAAGATTTAAAGCACAGTCAAACGAAGGGGAATGGTGTTGCTGTAGGCGCAATGAACCGACCACCGGAACTTGCGGTCCCGTAACCGACGGCGGTGACGGCAGAGTTTCTGAAAGATCGATACTTCTACACAGCTAGGTGCTCGTTATGGCTTTATTTTAATTCGACTTTCGTCGCTTCTCTTCAAGTCCGTCAAAATTACACATTGTGCACTTGAACGTCCATGTCCAGAGAAGGAGATGCCTGAGAACCCTCGTCAGAAATATCATATAGTTTAATAACATTTTTTGAATTAGCCTTAGATATTACAGATTACCTCCTTTTTTATATAAAACTTACGAATATGAAACATTTAGATATGGATATCAGATACCATTTTGTATTTATTTCGGCATGTTTCACATAACTAGTTTTACACAAAAAAACTAACATCCGAGACATACTTTTTCATGAAAACACCAACATAATTATGTAAAAAAATCGAATTGGATAATGCGCTAGAAGCATAAACGGAAAACTGACAAGAGCGATAGAAATTGCAGAAGAGCCAGCATGGACAGCAGTAGCGACTACTAAATGCATAACAAGTTAATCATCGCCACGATGGCAAGGACAATCATGGACGTCGACATCCACGCACTTCCCGGTGAATTCGCGTCTTGCAAGGGATCTGGAGAGCAATACTTCATCTGCCCTGCAAAACATATAAATTGTGAACCATCAGCATGGTTATTTTACTTACAATATGATATTTTCAGATGCACAACAATTGCACTCAAGTGAACTACTTTACTTGAACGCAATAGATGCTGCATTCAGATCTACTGCATTCAAGGACGGTCATTTGTTATAGAAAAGCGCTGCAAGTTAGGACTTTTAATGCACCAGCAGCAAAATTGCTGTGCATGTCGACATGCAGTTTTCAAACAAAAATCTTAAATTAAAAATCTGTGTTTTCGTTAACGGAGCATTTGGCTAATGAATAAAGCGAATGGAAAAATCGACACTTTGACATAAACATTTTGTATTGTTTTAGAACCAACTGCAATGGTCAGGACAGTGCAGCAACAACGCATTAAATTCATTTATTATTTTTTAAAATTTATTATTTGACAAACATTCAGAAAAACGGCAAAAACAAGTTAGGAGACCTCATATACGCACCACCAATTACGCACTGACTGCCGCTTTAGAAACAGGCATGTCGACATGCAAATAAGCGATAAGAAAGACATATGCATGTCCACAAGCAAATAAACAATAAAAAGGCTTATATCAACTCAAATTTTAGTACGTTAAACTTGTCCCTGCTGCATTTTGAAATACCTAAAAAAAACGTCCTTAGCAAAAATCTAGTTTCTGCTCGCTTCCTATGTTTAAGGTATTAAAAAGGACTAATATTCCCTTGAATCGAAATTCGTTGTATAGTTTGGTAGCTGGAAAATAGCGCTTTACTTCACAATTGCATTACCTGTTGCTTTGCTGCATGTCCTCATGATCATGATCATGCACATTTGTCCATCTAAGCAGAGCCTCCCAAGGATCTGGAAATAAAACGCACACAATAATTTGACACGTGCTATCTTTATGACTTTTAAATTGGAAATTTTTCGATTATCTCTTACCCTAGAACTGGTCCAAAATTGCTGTGGGTCCTCGCAGCATTGCAGACTGTGTCGAATGTTGCACTTTATCCATTAGCATGCCGTGCGTGACATTGCCACATAAACCACTGTCATGCATAAATATCAACACTAGCAGTGTTTTTTAAATGTTTTGAAATAAAATTTGGCTGTCGACAGCCATAAAAAAAACGTCAAGGATTCAAACAAAATACAAGAAACCAATTCAAAAGCACAGATAAAAAAGTCGAGAATTGCCATTACCAAAACTGGCTGTCAAAATCAGCTTGGGCGCAACGGCTCTGAACGTGAACTTGCGGTGAACACTGAAACTGCCATGCAGCCAATTAGAAGCACCATGAAAGTAGTCTACAGTGAGCGTAGTCGGCAGCAAAATGCAGCCACCACGTGGGCAGTGTCAGGTATTTTGTCGTTAACGTTTTGCCTCCAACCAGGTAAACTGGAGCAGTTTGTTTTTTGTTTCGAAGGACTTTTGCTTCTTTTTTGCGATTTTTGCTTTTGAGGATAATTCTTGTCGGTCGACCGATCATGTCCTTGCACAGGAACTATGTCTTTGATAACTGATTACTTAACAAGGTTCTGCAGAAAAGCTTTGATGCTCTATAGCGGCGACACATGGATCAAAATCGCTTTTTAGGTTATGTGGCGAGGCGAGGCGATCAATGTCGGTCGACCGACAAAGCTTTCTCTTTAGCTGCAATATCCTAAATTGTTATTTGCAATGAACCAGAACCGCGACGGTGTCGGGACTGTTGGCAATTAACATGGGCGGTCGTAGTGCTGATCTTGGAATCTGGCTGGTTTATTTTTTTTATTTTTCTGGAATTGTTTCTTGCTAAGCGAGATACTGTTTACTTGCATGACGGTCGACCGACAAAGCTTTTGTTCTTTTGTTCTTCTTGTATTGCGTTTGCTTCTGTTTAACGTTTTGGCTAAACAGTTGCGAAGACGCGGGTACGAGTTTGGAATAAATTTTGTAACTTCGATACGTTTTCGTATTGATATAAATTATTACATAAGATCTGCTGCCAAAATCATGCCGTCGGCACATTTTATGATAAACGGCTTAACATTTGAGGTATGTTGATACAGTTTAGAACAAACTTTTTGACGAGGGGAAACTGGCATTGAACCCAGAATTAAACCACGGCCAAGAGTCGAGCGGCTTTCTGTTTATGTAGACAGTAGAAGTGAAAATCAGTTTCGCCAAACTCAGAATACCAAAATTGATTTCAACCTGAAGGTAAGGATGCTACTTCCTGCTGGCTGGGATACATTCAGGATGTCTTTGACAAGAGCTACCAATAACTTTGGCTAACCATCCATTTAGGCTGACTGGTCATCGTGCTTGGAGCCTACCGCAGCACTCTCAATAATTTTACAGATTATTGACATTAATTCTGCATCTGTTTTCCGAGCGCGCAATTTGCAGACCGATGTTATGGCCGATTCAACATATGGTTACGAGAAGCAAAATTTTATCAAAATCATGAAACATATGGTTACAAGAAATGAGCAATTTTTATTTGTAACGTAACTCTCCAGTTTTTGTGAGCTTTGCAGAAACCGGAGAGATCAGCTAATTTATCAATAAACTGTTCATTTCTCGCCTCAAATGGGAGAAGATGCTGCCAAGATGTGCGCCGAAGTGTCAATGCCCAGTGCCGACACTGCTGTTGTCGGGATCGTAAAAGGTCATGTTGTTGTTTTTGCAACGCTGTGAATTACTGTATGAGTAGATTTTGGTTTGACTAATTAGTTATGGAAGTGCATATACCGTCAGAAGGAAGCATACACGAGCGTATATACCCGCACCGCGACAGTGTAAAAAATTGTCACTTGTGAATCCCAACTTGCTCAATTTTCACCCGCATGCTCTTTGGCACCGGCACCCGTCACCGCATCAGAACCGTTCGATTAACATTTAATTATGAGTTGACCCTTCCCTTATCTAGCTGCTTTGACCGTAGACCACAACAAACACGGAGACGAGTGGCAGCCAAAACTATTTTTATCTAACGCTAAAATACTTGAATTAGTGCAGCCGGCGACAAGATCGGTAGAGGAACAGATCAGCTTCCTGTGTGTCGCATGCATTTGCAGATGCGCAGACACTTTCCGACAAAGTCCCGTATCTCGACGGGGAGCAACGGAGAAACAGCCGGCACACCGCCGTTGCCGGCAAACATCAACACCGTCACATTCTCCGTCAGCAGAGAAGGAAGGTGCCACGCTCGTACACTTCTTCGCCGCGTCGGTCGAGAGCCTTGACGCGTCCGATGCCGGTGATTTTAATTTATGGGTTGCTTGGTGCGTCGGCCGAGGTCATTATGTTGGCGTCCCGCAAATTGCAGTGTGCGCAGCCGTGGTCATGCAGGTATTCCAGACCGGGAACTATGTTGGCGGATTATGTCTTGCACTTGTACCGTGGCTACTCCGGCTAGAGTGTTGGCTCGAGTACATCTTCTACAACTAAAATAATGTGTTGTTAAAGGAATTATTCCGGCCGACGGATAGCCGATACAATTATTCATCTGATTATTGAGCAACACTTTTTTAGTTATTAATTTTAACTGAATTTGCGAGATTACTGAAATCTTTGATATACAGTACTAAAAATCTCTCCCATAGTGCGAGTAGTGCATCTCCTTTCATACGAGTACTTAGTTTACTTACTGTATGTACAGATAGATGCAGCCTTGCCGCGCGAAATTCGGACAGTTATCCAAATTTCTTAACTGTCACCATTGAAGTCTATAAATTTTATGGCTTCGTAGTTTTTACTTGATGGATTCTTATTCCACAGCGACGTACTGAATTACTGTATATTTCTAGGCATGAAGCTGAAGGACAGGAAACGGGAGCAATAGTTTTACTTCATTTACAGACCATCGAATTATTTTAATTTTATTGTAAGAATAACCTAGGCACCACCTTCGAAGGCTCGGCGATGACCTTGCGTAAGCCTAACACAATATCCGCCTCTGTTAAGTACTAGTAACGCTATGGGTAAGTGCATGCGTGCCTCCTAACTACTACGAGTAGTACATCTTCATACTGCAAATTACTCCACGAGAAGACTTGTCAGCCCCATTTCGTCCATTAACATCTACCAGTTCCAGATAGACTGACAAGAGGGCAGACTGCTGCGCGTGAAACGCAGAGTTGTATGATTGAATATGATGCACACGTGGCGTGGGCATGACTAAATGGCGTGGTGCGCGTAAATGGCGTATTCAGAATCGATATCGATGTTTGCTCAGTTGCTCTCATTTTTTGGTTCTACAATTATGGTACCGCACTGAATTTTGAAGTCCTTCAGACCTGCAACATATTCATATACACGATTATAAAACTGTAGTTAGCTAATGTTCTCTGACAAGGTTTAGCCTTGAATTTTTATTGAGTGCCTTCTATCGACAGCCAGCTGTACGAACCTCATGTCATGGCTTCCGGGGGATCTACGAAAGAAACCGAGCTTCTCTTTCGACTTTTTAACGGTGTTTACGGATCAATTGACAAAGGCGTTTTAACCAGCACTAGTGAATACATCGCTGTTAAGCATATTCGCCTAGATTTCCACCAACCTCAGCGTGAACTGCAAATTCAACGCTTAAAAGCCAATTTCGATTTTACCGCCAACTTGCAGCATCGGAATCTGGTACGGCAGATCCATCATCAGGAATGTGAACACGACACGGATTTGGTTGTCAATACTGCGCCTGAGAGATATGAGGTCATAACGGAGTTCAGTAAAGGTAACACTAATATGCATCTGCCGATTAATATGTCACAGCCGATTCTCAAAACTCTTTTCGGAAATATCTGCTGCCTACTGGCTTACTGCGTAGCTGAGTGCCCCCAAGTTCCCACACGACCGAATAACGCAGCGGAATTTTGCAGTGGTTTCAAATCTTGCTGTAAAAAAGTTTGAGATGAACTTCAGATTTGTAATTACACAGAAATTTTATTACAGATAAAAATCACAGATTGTTTTACGAAACACGATCAGATCGTGTCTTTCTAAATGCTTAGACAGATATTGTATAGCGTAGAGTAGAGCGGTAGAGGGTATGGCCGTATGGCACAGCTTCTACTCTTACACTATTTCCGTAAGTAATTTTTGCCATATTTGTGATGTGCATGTCGGCTTGCCCTTTTTGCGGCCCCAAAATGTTGCCTTGTTGTCAGTTACGTAGCACTGTGTTTGATTGTTTTCGTGAAATTGTGAACTACATGTATTGACGATCTTGAATTGTACCAACCACAGGACAATAAAGGCTGAGACACTCAATAACATGTTATTTTATTTTTATGCCATCCGCAAAACCGTATAGTTTTTACAATAGTACAACACTGTCAAGATTCGAATTCTAACACAACGCATTCTAAAAGAATGCGATGACAAAACTCAGAAGCCTTGGGTCCGTGATAAATTGACTTTTGCAGGAGAAAATCTGCATGATTTTGCGAGTACGAACGATATAACCGCTGTGCAGCTGCAAGACATAGTCGGCCAAATAGTTTGCGGAGTGGAGTATCTGCATCAGCAGTTGTACGCTCACCGCGACTTGCGCGGCGCCAACATCCTCATCGCGATCGGCGCACTGGGCGCCCTTCAGGTCAAACTCACCGGAATGGGACGCATCAGCGACGCGCTGGATCGCGGCGACGGCAAGAGGCAGGAGCGGGGAGCGTGGATGTTTTGCCGCCGGAGTGGATCCGCTGCGAATACGCCGTCGATCAGTCCCTGGGCCGGTCCTGCGAAGTGGCCCTGCGCGGCGATATGTGGAGTCTGGGTTGTGTCGTGCTGGAGGTGGTAAACGGCGGTTGGCCGGAGTTCTATCACGAAGACGGCGACGGAGAGCGGCGTCTCCTGACGGACGACGTGAAGGTGCTGCTGTTTGTCGGTAACGGAGGTGTGCCGACTGTTTCCCCGTTGCTGCCCGTGGAGATACAGGACTTTGTCGGCAAGTGCCTGAGTCGCAGTCCATGTGACCGCTGGATGACCACGGATTTGAAAGCCCATGCGTTTCTGCAGTGCTCCCAAGACAACGTATCGCAGTGGGCTTTACCGCGACCGGCCAGACAAAACGCCGACATCTTCCTCTACCGTGATTGCAGCCGACGACGGTAAGTTAAACTCTAAGCTATGCACTGGCGATCTCGCTAACTGTTGACTTCTGCGTTAAATGTAGCGTTTTCCAGTTTTGCACCTAAAATTTTGTTTTCTATAATATATTAATAGTTTAGTATTATTGCTTGTTTGTTCTAACAAAACTGCTGTATGTAGGGCACGATTCGCCTCGGCCCTCCGCGTTGTTTCTCGTCTACCGGCTACCGCCAAGAATAATTTATCGTATAACGTATAAAAATGGTATGTACATAAATTACATTTACTGTATATGCCTAATCTACTGCACGAAACCTATCCACCCAAGAAATGGCTGACAAATAGCATTTAGAAAACAAGTGTTATCGATGTCCTAGGCAGAGTGGACGAAAACTACTAACCGTTTGCATGCGAAAAAAAAATTGAAACAAAAACACTATCGATTTCATGGTCATCAAATGTAAGATGGCAAGAACAACCCGTGACAAATCGCGGGTTTTTGCAAAGGCTTCTATAATTCTCAGTAGAAATGGCGAAGCGAAGCATTTTTATCAAACGATCTACGGATTTAATGGCAACGCGACCATGCATCGGTCCGGAACGCACCTGAGCCTCAAAGGTTAAAACTATATACGGCGACATGTGCTGAGCGATCTCGCTAGAATAAAAGATGCAAAATTCCTCGAGCAAAATTAAGAACATAGTTTCCGCAGTGTCAAATAAGTTGACAGAGCATTTGATCTTTGGATAACTCATGAATCTCGGCACGCAAAAACACCTAAAGATGGTTTCACGGCGGACGTAGTGAGCGTCGTCTTCCATTTCGGAGTCTCGGAGGAGCCGGAATCGGTTCGCAATTCATTTCAGGTGCCACGTAGAGCATTAGCAGGCCAAACCAAGCGCAACGCCACACCCTTCCGAAGTTGCGACAGTCGTTCATCAGGGTTTTTTACCGTTTTGCGCCTGTACCAAGGGGCAAGTCTGGCCTTCCCATCGACAATAATGGCACCGTTTTTCGTCACTATTGTCACAGTGGAAAGGGTACTCGCACATATGCTCACGGCTTACAGCATCGTACCGCTTAATCCTGCAATTTAATTTAGGTTTTAGTTTTCCTATCCCTGTAACCGTGTTCCCCATCCTATCGGTTCAATATCCGCGAAGGCTCATTAATTTTCGTTCCAAAAAACTGGAGTAATGTTCTTATTACTACAGCACAAGAGCAAACAACTCATAAAATGGGACTTGTGCAGCGTTGTGACATCACTGTCTGGCCGCTATCAATATCGACTAAGTATGAGTTGATCGATGTTATTTTCGAATTTTTGGCCGTAAACCACTAGAAAGGTGAAGGCGAACTGCACCAACAGCAGCTCGTAATATATAATACTGAATTATTGCAGAAGAAGCAGCAATTCCATGTGCCAGCGGCTGAGATGGCCAGCAAAAGGCTTTTCGCTCACAGTACTCGGCTGCAGTCCGCTTCTTGTCTGTTAGGTGGCGGCAGGGTCCATTGCGCCACAACATCCCTGGAGCACTGCAGAAACTGATGCCCTTTCAAGTCCTTAGTCATCCAGCGGTCACGCGGGTTGCGGCTAAGACACTTGCCGACAAAATCCTGTATCTCCACAGGTAACAACGGGGAAACATCCGGCACACCACCGTTTCCGACAAAGATCAGCACCGGCACATCCTTCGTCAGGAGACGCCGATCTCCTTCGCCATCGTCTTCGTAGAACGCCGGCCAACCGCCGTTAATCACCTCCAGCACGACACAACCCAGACTCCACACATCGCCGCGCATGGCCAGTTTCCGGGATTTCTCCGGGGATGCGGGAGCGGTGCACTCAAGTCGGATCCGTTCGGGCGGCACAAACAGCATATATCCCCGCTCCGACGCCGCTTCGCCGCCGCGATCCAGCGCGTCGGTTATATGGCCCATGCCGGTGATTTTCACACGGGGAGAGCCCAGTCCGTCCACCGAGATCATTATGTTGGCGCCCCGGACGTCGCCGTGAGCATAGTTCTGTCCATGCAGATAGTCTAAACCGGCGACTATCTGGCCAACTATGTCTTGCAGCTGCAGAGCGGATACAGTGTTCGTACTGACGAAATCGTGAAGAATGCCCCCTGCAACAACAAAATTTGATTTTTCCTGGATCTAGTCAAGCACACCCACCGCACATATGCTACTAAAAACAAGGCGCAAAATTGATCGAGGAACACAGTAATTATGCCGTTGGCAACCTGTTGCAACTTGCGACACCGATTAGTGAATACGTTTTGAGCTTTTAGTGAACCGCCTTCAGTCTTCATACCCTACGGTAGTTTGAATTACGTGCCACAACAACCAGTCACATTCTGCAATGCCACTTTTGCTCCGTAATTGTGCGATTGATTTCCGTACATTTATCAGTTATTGAGATATGACGAATACCAACAGTCACCAGAGACAGGATTTCGAAGTCAGCGGAAGTGGCAAAAAAACGTTTTCACAGCCATTCGTGGAATTAATTTGATCATAAGCCAGCTCAAAAACAGGGCATATGGTCGAGTTAATACAGTACTCCCGTAAAAGTGAAGTTGTGCAAAGTAGTGCAGCATAAAAAGATTTGCGAAACATGCAAGGGAAAACCAGCTAGTATGTCCGGAAGTCCTAACTGCGCAGGGTGGCAGTTGACCTGACCAGTGCATCTCCCATAGTAGACGCTGATTTCTAAGTACTTGTAATGCTGCGCCATGCGTTGGTGAGCAACACGATAATACATAAGTACATACCGATAATCCTCGTACTATTAAGAAGCTGAGTTGGAAATAATGCATTCGTATCCGTTATGAATTTTTAAACATTAATCGATTCGGTGGGACTCAAAAGCGAATGCCCAATAGTGAATAATCGTGAATTGGCAGACAAGAGTTTTGGCAATTGTCAAAGTACTTCGATTTATTAGTCATATTATTATATTTATAATTATATGGTAATTTTGTACTACCTTGGAAGAACTCAGTGATGACTTCATATATTCCAGGCTCATCATCCGCATTTCTGCCCTGCTGGGATTCCTGATGATGAATCTGGCGTAGCAGACTGCGATGATGCAAATTGGCAGTGAAATCGAAATTCGCTTTTAAACGTCGAATTTGGGAATCACGCTGTTGTTGCGGGACATCGAGTTGGATATGCTTGACAGCGACACACTCATTACTTTTAGTTAACACGCCTTTGTAGATTAATCCATGAACACCGTTGAAAACTACTTCACGAAGTTCCACTGGGATCTTCGTAGATTCTGCAGAAGCCATTGTTTTTACATCTTGCACTACTGCCAAAAAGAGCACCAGAGTTCTTACTGTGACTGCTGTCTATGTCGTACACTGCCACCAGCGTGCCATGAATCATCAGCATGACGCTCAAGTGAGGTACCTCTGTCTCTGTGAGACTAATTTAATAAGCTGCAAAATGCAAATCAATAGCATTACAAGTGCCGCTGCGGCTGTCGCCGACTGCCAACTTCTGCCGGTGCAGTGTACTTACATGTACAGTCAGTACAGATACATGCTGCTGCTCGTTCTCGTTGCTGTTCCGTGCCATGCGCATGCTTCTGACTCACATGTCAGTTCTGAGCCATGATTCATGTGTAAAGTAGAGTAGAGCAAGCGCTCTTTTACTTACCTTATTGTTGCCTTTAGTGCATAAGTTTTGTTCACATAAGAAACATTACAAAAGATTAGCTTATGTGCCTTTTTCCTGATTTGCTCATTTGCGGTAAGGTTTTTTTGCCGTATCACAGCAAACGGAACTCAATAAAGTCGACATATGTAATATTGTTAATTGAATCAGTGTGTGTACACTCACAATCAGTGTTAAAATGTTAATTTACCACAAAACAATTCAATCAGTTAAAAATTTTAATTCAATTAAATGTGCAGTTGCCTCGGCATCTTTATTAGTGACAGCAAGCTATCGCACGCGCTTCTAGTCCCATAATTTTTCTTATAAGTTACACAGCCGGCTCATTAATACCGCAACCATACATTTTCAGCGTACACAATCATACGCTGAAAATGCATGGTAGTGACGTTACCGATGTCACCGGCGAGTTATGAAACGAAATAATCTTACCGAAAGAATCCTATTCCTCCGATAGCCGACACGGAAGTCATCCCCTTCACGTATGGTTAGTTAACACTTTACTTTGGCTCGGCCAAGTGTCAAAAACTGCGGCAACAGTTTTTGGCAGTGTGTGTGCAGACAGTTTGAACGCTGTTTGCGCCTTATTAGTCGCTTCCGGTGGGACTAAACACTGGAAAACCGCCCGAAAATTTCACAGATCCTCTGAAATATTTCCTCAAAGCTTGCAGCGATGCAACAGCGAAAAGTTTCACTTCTAAAGCGTATTTTTAAAACATGTAGCAGTGCTATTGTAAATCTGCCTTTTTGGTTTCCTGTGCATTTTGCGTGATAAATACTACAATCGCTTTTTTAAGGACGAACACATCGAGCCGGATTATGACCATCTGCATATGGCTGCATATATTGACACTATGTGCAGCCATGACGCGAAACTCCGGGCCAGTCACTGTAGCATTACAGGTGCATGGTGTGGCGGCGGCGGCGGTGTGGTTAGGCGGCGTCGTTTCCGGGTCCATAACGACACGACTATTCAGTAGTAGTTACGCTAGCCTTCAGTTATGCCTGCAGCATCATCGGCATGAGCATTTGACGGAGCACTTATTCCCGCTCCCACTCAGATTACCGTATTAGCAGCGCTGTGCGGAAACGGGAAATATATGTTGTTACACTCAACCGCAACAACATCCGAGGTCAGTAAGGCGGCGTTCAAATATTACGTAACGGGCATGGGTGAGGGGTGGTCTGGCCGAAGCGTTACGGCTTTGTTACATGGGTAGGGGGTGGGTGGCCAGCATGTTACGTTACATTTGGGCACCTCTGAAGATAAAGCTGAAAATTAATATTTTATCTTATTACTTCAGGAGCGTACAAAACACGCGCATTTACCCAGTGTATTCTTCCCAAACGTTCCCCGATATTTTAGCAATATTTACTTATGAGTATCTTGCCCACTGAGCTGTATTTGAAGTGAAAACTCAGTCGTTTACGCGTGGTGATTGTATGGAAAATTTTTTCGACTTATGGGGGTGGGGGGTACCGAACCCGTTACGTACGGCTGTAGGGGGTACAAAAATTTGTTACGCGTTGTTACAAGGGGTAGGGGGTGGTGAAAAAAACGGAAAATTTGCGTTACGTAATATTTGAACGCCGCCTAACTAATAATTAATTACAACGGTACCGAACGATAAAAAATAAAATACATAAAATGCGGAACGGTAAAAAGAATTTTGCTTCGATGTGGGATCATAGATGCATGTGTTATAGGTTTGCGGCAAGACGTGTGCGACATCACGCGGCCGGACATCCTGGGTCCCTACTACAAGCCCAACGCGCCCATCCGCCCGCTGGCGGTCAACGGCGACTGGGCCAGTCTGTGCTACAACGTCCCCGTCCACGACCGCCTCTTCCCACAAATGTTCGCGAAAGAGACAGCTACTGCGTGTACACGTAACTGCTCCCATATAGCGAGTCATAAATCTCCAGAATAAAATGCATTATGCTGTTATCTGTATATATGTACATGCGCAACGCCCCGACCTTTTACGATTCCGACAAGAGCAGGGCCTTCTGGCTCATGTCCGTGGTTTAAACCGCAGCTCAGTGCCGGTTTTTACTTTGGGCTTTTCTGCCTACTTCCTTGGATATCGAAGTGCGTATTGTGTAATTTTGACGGACGCGTAAATTAAACTGAAGAAAATCGAGTAAAACTAGATCTTAACACACACCTGTACATCGATCTTTCAGAAACTCTGCCGGAAGTCGCAGTTCACAGCAGTAACGCTACTGAAGGGAACGGCGATGTCAAATATGGCAGCGGTCCAGCGGACTGATGAACCATGCCTATCGAAAGTGGAAGAGACTTGCTCACAGTCCGATCCAATGCAAGAAATGGAGTCACTTGCTCTGTGACTGGGTCTGGCATATCCCTAAAGTTTCCGCATCTACTACAGCAGCTATCTTTGCAAAAATGGTGTTTTGTGCGATAAATTCTGATTTGCAGCGATTTCTGATTACGCTAAAATAATTCGCACTGAACGCAACAGATGCACGCCAAAAAAATACCTGTGAGCGGTCAAAAGGTCTTTTCTCGGGTTGCATATTTTTCAAAAGGTTCATGAGCCACATACTAATAAATGAAAAAGTGTAAGCGAAAAACGAAACCAAAGAGCTTCGGCCCCACAAAATTATGTGCAGCGTCATTATTATGAGAATTTTAATGCTATTCGACCACAAAATACCGTTCAGGGAACCATTTAAATTAAACGAAAAACCTCGCCTAAACGCAGCAAAAACATTCAATCTATTATTCCTTAGAAAAAATTATTTAACGCCAACGCTTGCAAATAAAGTGACCACGTCTACAGCGTAAACACCAATCAATGATCACGTATTCAGCCGAGCTGGATTGACCAGGATCACGTACTCTCGATACTACCAAATACCATTTTCTCCAGTTTATTTGGCTCAGGAGGTATCGGGCGTATAGAATTGGGAGGAGGAGTGGCTTTTCCGTTCCCCCGCGCACGGGCGGCTGCTATGTTGTTTTGCTGTTTTTGCCGTGTTTTTCTCCATCTACCAGATTCTAAATCTGGTACATGTAGATTCTTTAGTTGCTAGATTTGGTCGTCTGAGCTGCATGCTTTTTCCTTTTTGCCCCGCAGCAAGGTGCTGCGGTGGCCTTTGATGTGTTCAATGTGAGAGAGATAAAGTGTGCAGTGTGTTGGCGTTCAGTTTCCGTTTCTGTTCGCGCAAGGGGTGAACTAGCCGTTCATCCCATGTTAGAGAATGTACAATTCATCGAAAAAGTCTTCGTAGAAAGTGCTTTCATCTGGGAAATCCTGGTGCCAACAGTTTCCTGAGCTGCCTTCCGAAAATCGGAATTCAGCAGTTCATGTATCAACGGACGCTTACTGCGGTGCGTCTCCGTGCATCCGCGCACAAATGCGTCAATTTCCCGAGGCAAAAATTCTAGAATGGCCGGTTTTGCGCCTTTGTTGACCTGGAAGATAATTTGAACACCTTTCAGTTCCACCGTGAATCCGCTATCTTCCTTAAAGAATTTGGGAATTGCCCCACATGAATTCAACTGCTTACTGTAGAAAAAATGGTGCGAAATGGTTTACTGCTGATACTTGACGGAATTAATCAGAACATGGTGCTGCTATCGCGAACCGGAAGTGCTACACGCTGAGATGACACTGAACGGCGAATCAAGCCCTATTGAACGCCAGAGATATGTGCTTGTACTCGTTGACAACGTAGCTCTCTCTGGTTTAAATTTATTTGCGTTATGAGAACCAAAATTTTACACAAATTCCACATAAATCGTGAAAAACTGAAAACACAAGCGAGGTACACAGCAACATCTCCAAACACAGACGGGCGGATAACGGAAAAGATTTCGTCCAAATTCGCCGCCGGTGGTGCTGTTCCCATAATAGATGCTGCGTTTCCTCGCTGAATTCTATGCTGATCAGTTGACGCAAAAACTCAAGTGCTCGCGGTTCGCGTGACTGCTGCTGGATCATTTTCCTAGCACGTTAGCAGCCGGGTGGTTTCTGGTCCAAATGTTCCGCAGGTTTCGAAGGCCAGAGGCCGGAACCAGTAATCATGGGTGATGTTGCGGTATTTCTCCGTCTTGCTCCGCTCAGCAGCGCTGATGCTGCTCCGGCTCGGGTGGATGTGGCTGCAATGTACGACAAAGCCCTGCGGCAGGCTACATCCCAGGCTAGCGCCTTTCCTCTTTCCCACGGGGAAATGGTCACTCCGTCTGGTCCTCTTTTGCCATCTGCACGGGAGATTCCGGGAGGTTCTAGTTCAGCTTCGATTCCAGCCGACGCAAAAGCGCGCCCGATGATCGCTTTGAGGCTATCATGGGTCGGCTTCCGTCCTCAGCTCTCTCCAGTAATATCACGTTGTTCGCTGTAGTATATACAGTATGTACGCTGATCCGTTTGACCAGTCTTACCACGACAGTATGCCATTACGATTCCGTATACATATGGTTTTTTTGGCAATATAGGCGGTCCAGCTGTAGATACTTGACTATCCTCGTCAAATAATTCCAAAACGAGAGACGATAGGACAAGTACACGATCAAATGCAAAACAGTCAAGGCGCAGATGTTGGGATCACTGCGCATCGTCGGCATTACACGTACTTCTACAAATAGCGGAATTCGGACTGAACATTGCGTGTTTGCAGCAACCGTCAAGTCTGCTCTAGGAAGTTCTTATCAACGCCAACTAGCAGAACCAAGGTTGCGTGTCCTCAACTTGTTTTTCATCTGCAGATCGGCGCTCGCCTGAACACAGTGCGGAAGACAATCGCGATATTAGCCCAGCCTGCAGATCTGTGCGGGCTGCGCTCCCGAAACAGGTGGAAAATACTGCGCAACTACAAAGATGACATTGTCCGTTGATGTCTTTAACTGCACGGTGGACTTTCTGTAATGCTTTTCCGATAAGGAAAAGTCGACGTCTTCCCTTTTTATCCTCTGTCAACAGTGAAAGGCACCGTAAGCAAGTAAATGTGACGCGAAATGGGAATGCGTTTTGTGTAGTGCGGAAATTTCCGCACTTGTTGCTACCGCAATATGTACATAAAAAGGTAAGTTTATACAAAAGCGACAGTCCATTCACGGGCAGCTTTGCTGATTGGTCAAACACAGACGCAAATATCCAGTTGAATAAGTTCCATACTAAATTGATACGTGATCATGCAGCGGATATCCGGCCGCCCAACGTAATTAGTTAGGGCGCCCAGGAGTGGTGAGGTTGTGGGTGTGGCTTGGCGCAGCAGCGCTAATCATTCCGTCCGCGTGCAGTGTTGCGTTGAATGTCTCGCTTCTCAGCATTGACGCAATGGAGGCAATTTTGGGAAGCCGGTGCGAAGCCATATATTGGTATTTGAGAAAGGCGGCTGTAGCAGGTGTTTGAATAATATTTGTAGTGAATTTTGAGCTGGGCGTTGCACGAAAATAAGTTAAAGACTAAAGTTGAAATTTGTCTTTCGGTTTAATTCGTGTGTTTATTAACTTAAGTATCGTATCCAGGCTAATTTTTTATTAGTTTTAAGGTCAACGTGAAAGTGGGTTGGATCGTTTGCAGCATCGTGCCGGCACGATTCTGGCCGGACGAATTTGCAAACGAAAACCATATGACCCACTTCTCGACTGTAGCCGATCTAATGGCGTTGTCCGTTTTTTCAGAAATTTCGTGGCCCATGCCGGAAGCCGGGTCAACCATGCATGTGCAGTTTCCGGGTTTATTCAGACATTAAACTCTTGTGGAAATTCCGTACGAAACACATCGGAATTAATTGAGCGCTTGCGGGTAGAACAGGTCGGCGGCGCGGTGCCATATGCGAAATCGAAGGTGCAGGTGATGACCTCCCCGGTTCGAGCTTCCGATATCTCCACTTCCACCCGACTGCCCCCATTTATTGCATTGAGTAACAGAACAGTTGCGAAAGCAATAACATCAAAGGCCACCATGTAGGGTGGGCGGGTGGTAAAAGAACCCACAAGAAAGCTAAATCAGCGGACTGATAAAATAACAGCTAGTCAGCACGACTGATCAGAACAGAATGCACAAGGTAATCGGGCCGTGTGCACGGCCGGCGGCAAGTCACACGCGGTCTCAAGGCATGACAAAGGGAGTAGGCTGAGCCAACGCGAAACAAAGCAATACAGGGAATTTGCCACGAATTTAACTTCACTTAGCTAGCTAACTGTCCTTTATTTTCTGTTCGTCTAACTACAAAGCGTCCCCTTTCCTACCTTATGATAAATGCCGATGTTACATAACCAACGAGTCCAGAGGTTAAAATACTAGAAATTTAATAATGACGCTGCTCTTGGCGCCCGCAAGGGCTGGGGTACCGAGCCAAGTTAGTTTTTACCGGAATCTTGTTGATTTGCTAGTTGAAACTTGAAAGTATTTGTCGCGCGAATCTTACGAGCAATGCTGCTTCAAGATATCCCGAGTGACCGCCAGAAACAATATTATTCTTTCATCTTCGAATTTATCGCGGATGTAACTAAATGCAAACGATTCACTCAAAATAATTCAGCAATGTTTGACTGTTATTCTAAGATTTTACAATTTAGTTTAAAATGCAATATCCAACTGCCATCACCGTCAAAAGAACGAAAAATCTCGATCAGTTTTGAAATTCCTAGAAGCACAGTCCTTGCATTTCTATAACTTAAAAAGACAGAGTTAATTTGTAGAGCTGTTAACAAGATGTGCAATACCACGGTGATGACTGTGGTGATAACAGCAATACCAAGGTGAACAATTAAAAGCAGGCACGCAGCCAACGGTATTTTTTACGTGAAGCTACATGCAACTGTAGATAAAATTACAGTGCTGCCGTCTGCGTATCTTCACCACGGAAAGCGTTTGCTACTGTAGCCGCTAGATGAAATGGCATCCACTTTTAGATCCGGCTGCTGCCTGCCCCTGACGGACAGCGCACAAGTTAACAGCAGCGTGTGCGCTGTTTTCCGTACACCAGACTCTGTGGTACCATTTCATCTAGCGGCTACAGTACCAGTTCGACAGCATCTACCCGGGTCGCTACGACGACGGCGGCTACCGACCGGCGCACATCCACTTCCTCATCACGCTCGTCGACGCCAACACCCGTCCCGTCGGACCTGTTTACACCCGGAGTTGTACTTTGCCGAAGGGACGTCCACATCTTGCATTTATAATATTATTATTACACAGTGAGAGCATATGCGTGTCTCTTTGATTCACGTTATTGCGTGATATATTGCTACGGTATATACGAGTAAATATAAATTATTATTGTATATACAAATACCTAGCTATACATTTACCGGTGAATTCATATTTGCATTTCTTGCATCTTAATGCATGGATTATTAACTAATTCATTACTGAATATAAATGCGCTGCCTATACACGACTTCGTGTTGCCAAATCAAGGGAAACTGCACAAGGAGCCACCTGGCGATTTTTCAATAAAAAAAAACTGACTTATGGAACGGTCATTTTTGCGTTTGTTATCCCACATTTTGTTCAGTTTTTTCGTTATTTAAGGAAATTTTGCTTTTGATGTTCGACTGGTAAAATTTGTCCAATCGCACCGTGTGCTGAAATTACTCGCAGGATTTCTATATTCCACTGTATTTATTTTTGTGATACAGTAAATATTATGCAGCTGCGTTCTAGTAACTGCACTTTTCGAACGACTGAAGAATACTGGCTAAACTCAAAATACGCAAAGCGCAGACGTCGAAGCTTTTAATATAATATAATCTTGTTCTCTTTTAAACTCTCTCTGTTATAATTTGTATACTCTGCTCAACATACACATACCGTACGATGCACAACTCGAGACATGTCGCCTACCGCTGCTCATCTTCAAGAATGAGAACAAAGGTCACGGTCAGAATCACCAGATTGGACACGATTATAATAGGTCGGCCGTTTAAAAAATATATACGGTAATGTAAGCAGCATAATACAAATAAACTTTTCCCTGGACTAGTTGTCATCGGTGGTACACGCATCATGCAGCCGTGATGCCAGACCGGTTCCCGTAGCGCGGCTCAAATTCGGCTCTCTTCGAAAAAATCAGGAGCTAGTTCACGTAGTGACTGCGCTTTGGACAGGGCTTTCTTCATCTGCAGGATTTTCGTCTTCGCTGCAACGTCTGCCAACTCCGTCGCAGATGCCAGTTTCTTCTTGTACATCTTAACTAGAGACGATACAACGTATTCAACCCATATAACGTTGGTTTTTGGGCAAAACGTCTTCCAATCGTCGTTAGTCGCCCGCTTCATGGCGCGATACACTTCTGACTGGGGATCCTTTACCGATCCGGTAAATAAAGCAGGATCGTCGGACAAATTCTTATAAACTTCGCCTTGCCCGGTATCGATTCTGGACAGGGTGCAGTCTATGAGAGTGGCATGGACACCATGAGTGGCGACGGCGTACCGAATGTTTTCGCTGTGAAAGCACATGGGTTAATTAGTATCCGCTGGTTTTGCTGCACTTGCGTACGCTCCAGCGACATTTACCGTATGGTAGACCGATACGAAGCGGAGGTAAGTATTTTGCCGCCATCTCTGCGGTTTAACAGCTCTTAGCTATGTAGTTGCCCTGTACTATGTTTGGAACAGTGCTCTTTGACCTTTTTGTCATACATTCAGCCGGAAGGGCGTTGTGCTACTTTGCGCGGTCTGTTAGGGTTTCATCAACTAGCACTATGGTTTCGTCAACTGTTATGGAGCTGGCGAATATTTTTCTTGTATTTATGGCAAGAAACTGTGACAAAAAAGCAAAATTATAATATTACAGCAGTACATCTCTGTTGGCTAAAGTATAACATGGCGATTTTTCCGATTGAAGGGCGTTGAAATATCTGCATGTGATTCCGACGCTACTGTATTTACGGCAACCATTACAACAGCCATGTGTAAAGAGCCTGGCTACGTACAAGGTTTAAATGAGAGTTTGTCGATTTATCGTAAATTATGGCGGGAATTTTAAATTTGGATTGGATGGCTTTAAGCGAAAACTTGACTACGATTATTACGTAGATGGTCTATGTTACGAAAAATATAATGCTAACTAAACTTTCAGCGGATATCGGTAGAACGCTCGTTCCGCCGACCATATGCAGCGCTGCCAGATGGATCCCGGGCGCGGCCCCGTTGCGCAGCGTACGCAATCACGTCTGTCAGGAAATCGCGTTTGTCGAACTCGCTTGCGCGGGCATGTACAACCAGGTGTTGGGTGGAGTGACTGAGACAGACGATAAAAATATAAACGATACCCAGTAGACGATAAAAATATTGGCGGAACACTAACCGTGCAATGTGGCGCTCTGCAATAGTGCGGACTGCTGACGGAGGTTTCGTCTGCTGTGTTTGTGTTTATTGAAGCAGGTAATTTAGGCTGCCGTGACCTTCGTGTTTTTGTTGCCTGTCTTCTCTTTTCTGGCACAATCGCTTGGTTGCAACTAGCACAGCTGCAACTCATCGCAATTGCACTTTGGTGGTGCGCGCAACAAGCGTAGCCTGCTCGAAAAGGTTAGCTGCGTTCAGCCTCTGAATTAAGATGCCTTCATAACGGTAAGTTATGCAATTTTAACGTGAACAGTTCTCTAATATTCCGCTAAATTCTGCAGTGGACTAACCATTTGAAGCGGATTTCCTCGGCATCGGTAGCCATAACCAGCACGTTCGAGAGATGGGTGTCTCGGTGTTCAAAGTTCAGAGCAGCTTCCGCGACCGTCAGACCGATGGTAATCTGGAGGACAACGCTCAGGATTTGCCGAACATGAACCAACTCGAACTTCTCTAAATCCGCTCCACCGTGTGCTAATCCCATCAGTGCGTAAGTCTGATTCGGCGAGTAGGCGTCGGGGTCAATATTCAAAGCTTCCTTCGGATTGTCCTCCTCGAACTGCTCATGGCATTCGGCCAGCTTCGCAGGATACGGGCCTTCCGCCAACTAAACCCGAAGCAACAATAGTATCGGCTGTTGACGCCACTCAAACTGTTAGCTTCACTTTTGTACAACAATTGCCGAAAGATACTCCGAGTTTTAAGAAAAACAACACCAGATAGAAACGCAGTTTCTTGCAATCATTAAAGTACGGTTCAAGTACCGTCTCCATGTAAGCGTCTAATGCTTTACGTCTTACTTTAAGGAAAAAAGTACGGATAAATACAGGAGCGAAGAATTGTCCGTCCTCCTCTAGCAGCTCCTGGGTGAGTTTTATGGAAATCAAGGCCTCGGAGTAGAACTGCTCCAGGGTAATTTGTTGTTCCACCTTGCCCTCGCGTACAGTTTCTCCCCCCACGGGAATAAACTTCAAAATGATCTCTTTGCTGCCCTGGGTAGCAGAATATACATTCGCATAGGATCCTTCTGCGATCTTGCGAAAATTCTTGAACTTCCCGCCCGTTAGCATGCGTCGAGTAGTAGTGATTTCCTGGGGATTGGCCAGATCCACTAACATTTCCTCGAGGGTTTTCTCGTGCCGCTCCGTAACGACTGAGAGACGGTGGGGAGACTGCGCAGTTTCTGGCGCTGCAAAAAAATAATAAAAAATCATTTGAATCTTGAATTTTCCTGCAACACATAGTCCGCTACAAAAATAACCAATTGCACTACAAATCGGGTATTTGATTATCTGTGTAATCGCGCTACAAACCACTGTTGACACAATATGTTTATTTTAATTGTGTACTAATCCATTACAAATAAGCGCTGCAAATTGCGCGACGTTATTATGTTATGGTTTGTTACGTTCTCCAGGTACCATCTTTTTACGACACAATGGGGCGTGTAGCAGTTGCTGCGGATTGCAGCCATTGACACTTTGTACGGGGTTGATGGGCTCGACAAACTCGTCGCAACAAAGGCACAACGGTGCTAACGGTAACTATCCCGAAAGTATTGCCAACTGCTCAGATTTCTCGGCTGTCTTTTCTGCAATGGTTTCATCCGAAGGAGCCCTATCAGTTGTGAAGTTGTCGGTCGCGATACTACAATCGACGACGTAATTCTGGGCCGCGCTATAGCCGTTTCAGCGTTGAGAGAGTTTCGACATCCGCTGTATGAAACTTGAAAGGTCCTCAGAACCAACCATGCGCCGACAAATGTCTCTTGAGGTACTTGAATACAGTGTTAGTGTGAGGTTGTGTCGTGCAAGTAAAGCCAGCATTTCGTTTTAAGTCTGACTCGAATCAGAAACAACTGTGGCCTTTATACGTAGCCCGTTCAACCGGTAGTCGACCGGCCGCGAACCGTGGTGAAAAGCAGCTGCAAGTCATGACGCGATTGCAGTATTGCTCGTCAGATTGTGTAATAGTCTGCACAACTGAGATGCAGTTGTGTTGAAGCAAGAGCGCACTGATGCTGAAATTGCCATGCTTACAACGAAAAACAGCAGCATAAAAAGCCTTACCGGTCGGTGAAGGAGCCGTTGTCGTGGGCCCACGCGATGCGGCAGTCTTTCGCTCATCCTTCCTTAGCGCCTCCCGTGCGTGGTTCGGCTGGCTGCTGCGTTCTCGCAAACGCGCACTGCGGCGGGATACGAGCGCCGGATCTTCGTGGGACTGTGCCTGCGGCAGCGCGCCGTTGTCCGCAGCCAATACCGATGAGCGCGGTTGTACTGACGGGCGTTCCTTGGTAACAATGGTCTGCTTAGGCGCAAGGACAACGGCTCCTTGCGGGGGCGCAGGGTTTTGGTTTTCTTGGTTTCCGGACGGCAAAGCTCTTTCGCCGGCAGCACGTGGAACGAAACCCGTATGGCCAGCTTGCGTCGCAGGCGGCTGCGCTGCTGACCCCGGAGGGACATCCACCTTCTTAGCATTTGCCGATCGCTGTCGTGTTTTCCGAGCGGAGACGATTACATCAGGGTTTGCAACCGGACGAGCCGCAGGGGTGTCAGGCAGCGCAGCGACGGACCGAGGTGGTTGACGGGTAGGCTTGTCAGTTGCTACCGTGAAACGCGAAGAGACGGATGAGTCGGTTTTTGTTGATCGAATATAGAAAGGCTTAAGTAAAGCAAAGCGTTACGAGAAGTGTTTGTGCTTTTCCTATATCTCAGTACGCAGTATAGAAGGAAATCAGTAACGCTTTATACAGCTATCCTGTACTGCACTGCACCAAGTCGTCAGATCGGCGCACTCCCGCGCGGTTGCATTCATACAGATGCTCATAGTTGAATAACAGGCATATGTTCCGGCACTAGCGATGAATACGAATGCTAACTGCATGCGGACTGGCTTACCTTTTCGCAAGGTACCAGTCACCGCGCGTTGTACTGCGAGTTCTTCCGGAGATGCATTGATCGTTGCAAGGGGACGATTCATCGCCGTCCGGCGATTTCCGACAGGGTTTCCGTTTGGAACCGACGGCGTGGGCGAATCCCGGTCCTTTTCGTCGTCCTTCTTGCTCGCGGCACGCGACCGTGTTAATTTTGGAGTGAACATCAGAGCCTGCACGCGTTTCGATTTGCGGGTGACCAGCGGTGCCGCACCGTTATTCGGGGCGGTTGCTGGCTCCGCTGTGGCAGCACCAGCGTCTCCGTGCTGACTGGGGACCGCAGAGCTATTCGCACGTTTGACGGCGGTGCTGCGGGATGGGACGCCAGTTTCTCCTCCTGGACTGTCGGGCCCCGAAGAGGACGGGGGTGCAGTGCGACGAACTTTCGGCGACAAATGCGGGTTGTTGCGGTAGAAGGCATCGTGCTGTTTTTGATGGGCATTAACTTTCCCCGCCTTAAAAATAAGTTGCTGGTTTTTGTTGCGGCGCTTCTGCGGATTCAGTCGCCGGCTGGGTTTGCAGTACATCTTCCCGATGCTCCACACTGTGACCCTGTAAAAATAGGCTTGTAGACGGAGTTAACCAGTTACGACGTAAAATCGCAGAACTTGGGAAAGAATGACAGCCTGAGAAACACAGACCGTCCAGTTCACACTGATAAATGGTTAGCCTATCTCACTATCTAGTCAGCGAAATCATGGAGGGCACACGATCCAGAATTAGTGCGCAGTCCAGCTAACGAATCACGCAGCACACGATATCAGATTAACAAACACGTAACGCGCCAGCTTTGAGGCTGGTGTTCAGTTGGGTAGCTGAACCGTAGAGCAGAAATGTCGATCGGCGATCTGTGCATCACCGTCTCATGCTTCACATTGCAAACCTGCTGACCTAACATCGCATGTTGGGTGATCCATGGCTGGATCGTAATGTCCAGTAAAAGGAATCAATCAGTGAGCAGATTCGGAGTCAACACTCAACAGCAAAGATCTCACTCATCACAGTTTCTCAAGATCGCATCGTCACAGTATATTCCATTGCGGTATAAATGTAAGTAGAGTGCGTCCTTCCTTTAACAGTTTAACTTACCAAAGTTAGCTTCGGCGCCGAGAGATGACCAGCGTGACCGTTTCCAACGGTGTAAATCAAATATCTCCCCGATCCCGAAAGCTGGAGCGCAGTAGCTCTCAAAGGATCCTCTCCGTGGTGGACTTTCCAACAGCCGTCCGTGATGGCGATTGCCGAGGGACTGCGCTGCGTCAGCACGCGCGAGAGTTAGGGCGACACGCTGGCTTCTGCCAGTTACGGAGCATTGGAGCCCACCGTGTGATGCGATCGTGCGTTCAGATGAGGATGAACTGGAAGGAGCAGAAACAGAAAAGAAAACAGGATTAAATAATGATTACAATAAGCGGTTAAGCAGTCTTCAAAAAACGGTATTGTGAAGTTTGGCATTTACAGTTACTTACATTATTTCAAAATAATGCAATGTAGCGATCAAATCAGTCCATCGATGAACCGCTAGTGTTCGCGAGGTGATCGCCGAAAATTGTGCACCTTTCTTTCACTTAGCATTACGCATTCTATTGTTCCGCTAAGCTGAGTCCGGGTTCCGGTATATATTCTTTGAATTGTGTGTCACTGCTGTGTCCGAGGTAGTGCATCACATCATTGTATCGCTGCCGTTTTCTCGCTTATAAGTTTGCAATGGCGACACTACATAACTAACTGAGGCAGACTACTTCAAATCGAAAGGAAAATCAGACACATTCCTTTTGGTGTTCATCTCACAATCAACAAGAATAAAAGTACAGAAGAACGGATTATTGCCTTGCTAGTGCATTTCTAACCCGGTTCCCGGGAGTTACATTCGCTACACCAGAGAACCTGTGTTTACTTGGTGCCCCGCTTTTGAAGGACGGAATCAAGACTGCGATGCAACAAGACGGAAGTGATGCGCCTTATAGCCAGCCGCCTCGACCTTTTACCCAAGCACCAAGCCTACTTCCTGCTGAAATGCAGCCTCAGTGCACCGAAGGTCATTCACCTGCTGCGGTGTTGTCCAACTTTTGAAGTACGTGACAGCCTTACTGAGTTTGATGAAGTCCTTAGGGAGTCGTTACAGTCCATTTGCAACGTCCGCATGAACTCATCCGCGTGGCGTCAGGCTTCCTTGCCAGTTCGCTGTGGTGGACTTGGGATCCGACGGGTAGAAGAATTATCCCTGCCGGCTTATTTGGCCAGTCTGGTTTCCCAGCTGCTGCCGCACTCAGCGGGTGTTGACGCGAACAACCATATCACGCTTTGGGGCTATCTCTCTGACGACGCTTCACCGCCTCTTCCTGAAAGCAGACATTTACAACGTGCATGGGATACGCCGTACTGTCTAGCCGAGCAAGCAATCTTGTTGTACGAGGCTCCAGATGCAGCCAACAAGGCACGGCTATTGGCAGTCTCAACACCGGAGTCAGGTGTCTGGACACACGCTCTTCCCTCTGCGCCAATCGGAAACCTGTTAGATGACGAAGTCTTCCGCGTCGCCGTTGCCATTC